TGGATGGATGGATGGATGGATGGATGGATAGATGGATGGATGGATGGGTGGATAGATAGATAGTTGGATAGTTTATTGGTAATCACATTGCAACCCAGAGCTTGAATTAGACGATTATTTACAACTGAATATTATTACTTAAAAATACTACTAATAATAATAAATGGAATAATGGAAAACACTATATAAATGCACTACAATAAAATTGTGATTAATGTTAAAAAATTAAAATATTGAAAGCAGATATAATAAAAAGCAATCGACACTTGTAAAACTATAGAGACACAGTTTAAGCGTTGAGGGCACTTAGCTATTACGAAATCTGTTCGTTCTGAAAACAGGCCTAAATAAGTTCTTCGTACAGGTATTTAGAGCAGGGGGAAGGCCGTGGAGCGTATTCTCTTCGTTCTGTACGACTTCTTTGGATAGTTTGTCTACAAGTTCCTGAAAGTTTAATTAGGCAGTGATTCAACCAAAGACTCATTGTAAACAGAAAATGATGCGCATAGCCCGTTTTTGCACTTCCTCAAGTTCATTGGAGAGATACGCGGAAAGAAAGTCGTGAAAGACAGGGCATGCATACTCCGTGAAAGGGCGAATGCAAGTGCAGAAATCTTAACTAGCTCACGGGTGCTTAGGCCAGAGCGTTTAAGCTGAGATAAACTATACAGGCGCTTCTTAGCTTTCTTGATAATGGAATCAATTTGACAGTTCCATATTTCAAATCACTAGACACGTTGAGACCTATTATTTTGGCACTGGTACTAATTCAATAGGCATGCCGCTAACTACCCCGGAGACGAATGACGTGGTATTCTTAGTGCTAAAGTTTATGCACAGTTCGTTGCATTTCGTCTCGTTTAGTTGTCCGCGTTAGCGCAGTTCAAGGTGCCAAGGTGTCAACAGCGGCCTGGATGTGACGACTGTCTTAGTTCTAACTTATCGTCTTCGAGATATTGGTATTGTCGAAGTATTTCCAGAGATCGGTGGCAGGAACATCGAGCTAATTGATCATGATAATAAGCAGCCCCAATTTTAGGCCTTGAGGAACCCCCGCCAGGACCATACCCCATTCTGAGAGGAAGTCATGGAAAAGCTTAACTCGCTGTTTGCGCGAGGTGAGGAAAGCGGAGATCCAGGAGATGACAGGGTCAGGGATATCATTTGTGCTCAGCTTCCTGACCAATATCTGATAATCGATGAGGTCAAAAGCAGCTAAAAGTTTTCTTAAAGTCAAAGAGAACCACCCATCAGTGGCACTGTTCCAGGCATGGATCATTCTAACTAGGGTTTCTGTGGTGCTTGAGCCTGATACGGGGCCAAACTGCCTTGGATCAACCGTAGCAAGAACAGCAGGTTTGACGCCGGGAACGATCAACCACAAAGTCCTCAGCTAAGTTTGAAAGGGCAGCGGTAAGTGAGATTGGTCTCAAGTGCTTGTTTACGTCGTACACAGGGGTGTGCTTGGGAACAGAGGCAGCATTTGCTTCTTTCCAGGACGAGGGTAGTGGAGCGTCCAAGTATGGTCAGTTAGGGTATCAGTAACCACTGGGCCAGTAAGTCTGCCTTCTTTTTTCCGTCTGGCCCTGAGGATTTAGCCGGATTAAGGGCGGTAAGTTTCTTTAGGTAGCAGAAATCGGTAACCGTCGGCGGATTAATTGGTGTGTTGCACGTCAACTGAGGCTTCAAGATGCAGGGGAGAAAGGAAGTTCATAGGGGCGAGGATAGCCTCCCACGCAGGCGCTTTTAGGGAAGCTCGTTTTTCATCCTTGCCCACAAACGCCTGCTCAACCGAAAACAACATTCCTTTCTCATTGTTTTATTTGCTGTCCTATACTTCTGCAAATTGCACACGTTTCCACATATTTTACGTCTGTTTCGTTTTTTATTTTNGTCAAAAGCAGCTAAAAGTTTTCTTAAAGTCAAAGAGAACCACCCATCAGTGGCACTGTTCCAGGCATGGATCATTCTAACTAGGGTTTCTGTGGTGCTTGAGCCTGATACGGGGCCAAACTGCCTTGGATCAACCGTAGCAAGAACAGCAGGTTTGACGCCGGGAACGATCAACCACAAAGTCCTCAGCTAAGTTTGAAAGGGCAGCGGTAAGTGAGATTGGTCTCAAGTGCTTGTTTACGTCGTACACAGGGGTGTGCTTGGGAACAGAGGCAGCATTTGCTTCTTTCCAGGACGAGGGTAGTGGAGCGTCCAAGTATGGTCAGTTAGGGTATCAGTAACCACTGGGCCAGTAAGTCTGCCTTCTTTTTTCCGTCTGGCCCTGAGGATTTAGCCGGATTAAGGGCGGTAAGTTTCTTTAGGTAGCAGAAATCGGTAACCGTCGGCGGATTAATTGGTGTGTTGCACGTCAACTGAGGCTTCAAGATGCAGGGGAGAAAGGAAGTTCATAGGGGCGAGGATAGCCTCCCACGCAGGCGCTTTTAGGGAAGCTCGTTTTTCATCCTTGCCCACAAACGCCTGCTCAACCGAAAACAACATTCCTTTC